GAATTGAATCATTTCATTTTTCAAAAAAGTTGTTGAACCACCTACAGATCAGCCTAAACCTTGAAAAGTCGCTAAATTGCTTTCAGACTAGCCAATTAAGGTATGTTTTCATTTTTTATGTTCTAATTTTTTTTTTGTGAGTTTATTATATAAATACATGTTTTTAAAATTCTAAATTTTTAAAATAAATATTTATTACCTTTAAAAAAATGAAAATAAAATTTAAATTTTTTGGTAATTTTAAATTCTACCTTTTCTTAAAAAATAATAAATAAATAAAAAATAAATAAATAAATAAATAAAGCAATTAAAAAATGAAGAAATGAACTTTTATTTGATGATGAGATTTTAAGGAAATTCGCATAATGATTCTTATAAAATCTTTAAGTAAGAAAGTTTATTTTTTTAAAATACTACTAATGTATTAGAATATTTATAAAAAATTTCTAATAAAATAAAAATACCTTTTTCTCCTACCAAAAAAATACCAAAAAAAATAACAATGCAAAAAATTAATAAACAAATTTTTCTAAAAGAAAAAAATGTATTTGTTCTAAAAAAAGATTACTAGTAAATAAAGAAAAAAATTTTATTTGACGATGAAATTTTAAAGTAATTCGAAAAGTAATACTTAAAAAATCTCTAGATAAGAAGATTTTTTTTAAAATGCTATCAGCATATTTGAATATTTATAAAAAATTTTCAATATAATAGAAAATTTTCTTTTCTTCTAAAAAAATTCTAAAAAAATCATAAAACATATTACGAAAAAAGTTTTTAAAAATAAAAAGATAAATAAAACATGCACACTAATATTTAATCATTTGCATCAACTGCATATCATTTAATTTTTGAAAAATAGATGTGAACCTCTGAAAATGAGATTCTAAGAAAATTTGAGTAGTGATTCCTAAAAAATCTGTAGGTGAGAAAAATTCTTTCAATAGTACCAATGTACTAGAACATTCTAAGAGTTTTTTTTTTTATAATAAGGTTCTAAGTTATTTTTCTTAAGTAAAATGGATTAATCTTTAAAATAATAAGATAATAAAAAGAAAAAGGGGTGAAACAACAAAAATGGAAATGAAAATAAATTAATAAAGGTAGTAAAAAGAATTATTTTTAAATGCCAAAATTAAAACATTTTTGTCAAAATTAAAGGATAATGCATAATTAATTTGTTTCGTTATTTAACAAGTGCTATGAGGTTGCTAATCTCTCCCCAAGCATAACTGACTCTCGCACCTAAATTATTTTTGTAGGCCCAAAAATTATCTTTTTTTATAAATTTTAATTAATCTTAAGATTTTATTAAAAAATTAAGGTTTTAATAGGTGGCTAATCACACCTAGCCAAAAAAAAAAAAAATTGGTGGTGACTCTATTTGTTTCTAAATTCATCTAGTGGTCCTAAAACTATTATGACTGCTTGACGACTCAACTAGGAAAATTTTTTTTTAGAGTTAGGCAAAAAATTAATTATGAATTTCTTTAATCTTGATTTAACATCCTTAATCAGTGTTTAACATTAACTCCATTGATTTTGAATTTGTCTAAAAAAAACTAAAAAAAAATAATGATAATAATAATAATGAATAAAAAAAAATCATTTGCATCTCCTTTTAATTATTTTATTCTTTTGTGTATATTATTCTCAATAAATTATGGGGCATTTGTGTTAATATCCTTCGCACATACTATAACACTTTGCATCTTATGTATGAGCTCTATATATGAGCTTTATCCTTTATAGGAAGAAGTAAAGTACATATCTCTCGTGAGGTGATAACCTTTACAATGGCAACCAAAATACTTCACTCAAATTGATCCATTTTCATTCATAGCTTGTATTGGGTGAGGATTGGGGTGCTTTACTAGACCAGCATGAACAACAATAAAAAATAATTTAAGAACCTTTAGATGTGTTTCGATCCAAAGCAAGCATATAATATGTTATAGGAAACCAATTTTAGGTAGAGCCTCACCAACACAGTTGTAGAAGGCACCAAAGTTTAGGACAAATAGGGGCACATTTCATAAGAATTCTAAAGTGTACAAAAATAAAAAATCATGTGTTTCAAACGAACCAACACAAAACAGAAAATAAAATAAAAAACAAAAAAAATGGTTTTTTGTTACAAAACAAAATTCACAAAGAGAAACACTATTTTAGAATACAAAAATAATAAAGGATTAGTAAAAAAGGCTACTATTTCATTTGGTTATGAAGCACCCTAAATGCTTATGACTAAGGGAAATTTAGTTTTTTTTTCTAATCTTGAATCACATCCATGTACTATTTAATTTTCTTTCCTTTTGTTTTTTTTTTCTTTCTCTTTTGCATAAACCACATTATGTAGTTTTCCATTAAGATATTTGCTCTAGGATACTTTTCTTCCAAGAATCTCTTTTCATGGATCTTGTAGAATTAAAGATTTGCTCATCCTTTGTAAGCATCCCATGTGAGTCATATAATGAGGTGCATATTCGGTCAAAAAAAGCTCAGCAAAAGAATGAAGATTATTTGCCTATCAGTTATATGTCAAGGTTGCTCAAAAAGGTGTATTTGGATATAGCACAAAATAATTTAAAAGATTTACTCATCATCAAGGGTCAAGTAATTGAAGAGAGAAAGAAAAGATTTGGTGAAAAATATGGACAAATCGCATCCCTAATCTTAGTAGTGATTGAAGAACAATTGATTTGAACAGTTATAAAATTTTAGGATCCATCCTGCAGATGCTTCACTTTTAACCAAGAGGATTTGATACCAACCATCAATAAGTACCTAGTTTTACTCAGAATAGAACTATAATGTCTGGACAAGGTGTTTACTCGGAAGCCAAAATTAAGTTATTGCAAAAAGTTGGCAGTGCTTATGGGGGGTTAAGGTTGAACTATAGAGTCTTTTGCTAAACCTAAAAGAGAATATCTCGATATTTGCTAGGATTTTTTCCATAATTTTGTTTAAGGCCATTTAGATGATGATTATGTGATGGTTGTTTTTACTTTGGCAATATATGGTATAGTGATCTTTTTAAAGACTTTAGGCTACATTGAGATAACTGTAGTGGATTTTTTCGAGTAAGTTAAAACCTAAGCATTGAGTCCTTCACCAATGATCTTAGCTGAAACCATAAGGTCATTGAATTTCTGTCGACAAAATGAAAAAGGTCATTTTATAGGATGTGCACCATTATTTTATGTGTGGGTAAGAAGTCGCTTGAAGTGTGGAAATAGTGCATTCCTAAAGCCGTATCTTCTAAACAAGGCATTGATTGAAGAATTTTGGAAAAGCCAATGGGCGACACTAAAGACCAAAGGAGAATGGATCACATTCTTACAAAGGCTTACCCAAGATGTAGTAGAATGGATGATATCGTGGATGCCTTACATGCCTATAGTATATTGGGATTATGAGGCTTGGTAAGTTACACCCTATTAAAGGTGCTAAGGCAATTTAGTGCAAAATAGTTTATTCCTGCTGCTCATGGTCTTGTTCAAGAAGAGTTTAATTATAGGGACCCTAATGGACCAGGAACATTAGAACAATTAATCCAAATATGAAAAAAGACATGAAGCTCGACAACATCACCCCCGATTACTAGATTTGGAGGACAAAGTGACTTAAAGATGTAGTACTTTCTCCTGATGATGGCTCACATCAATCAGCTAACATTGGGCAAAAGCATAGTTATTAGAAGTCAAACTTGTTAGAAAGGAATTAAAAATTGAAAAGGAAGAAATAAGAAGAGAAAATTTAAAGCTTCACAAAAAAATGTGACAATTGAGATATGAAGTAGAAATACGAGCAAGAGTTCGAGTTCAAGCAGGACTAAATCAAGCTGCAAAGGAAAATAGGTTCAAAGATGCAACAGAGTTTCTAAAGGTAGGACCATGAACTAAAAAGGATGTGCGAATGCTGAAATGAGCTCTAGGAGCCTAGGCCAGGTGATTAGGTTCCATAACTTTAAGGCAAGTACAGGCATGGGCCCAACTGTGAGCCCAGGCGTAGGCCTAAGTACAAATCCAAATAAAAGCCCAAGGATGGGTCCAAGAACGAGCACTGCTGAAGACAGACCTAGAACTTTCTAGGATAAAGTCCTATCTGTTTCAAATTCTCTATTGATAAAGTCCTTATAAGTTTGAACCCTCCTATGTAATCTTATGTAATTTTGGACTTTATATGAACCAATAGATAGGATCAATCTGAACCGTTCATGTAAGGGGGTCTCAACTATAAATAGAGGGTTTCCCACCTTTATTATGTACAGCACAACTTGAGTAATATAAGTTTACTATAGCTTTAAATCTCTCTTTTTCTTTTCTTAACCTTTTCTTAAACACCTTATATGCAGTATTGTTTAGCAGCAGCTTAGGTGACTAGGCCCTAGAGTATTGAGTGCCTGAGCACCAGTCCGAGTGTTAGGCTGATCTTGGAAGTAGAACTAGTCCATTCTCGAGTCCATGAGCCGTATGAACCTAGAGCTAAAGTTTCGACCTGACAAATGCATTATAAAGCTACTAACCTATGAAAAGTTACTCATCATTGGATTACTATATTCTGACTGTTATGGTAATAATAACTTGTATGTTAACCTTCTGACTAGCAAAACTATTAAAATTGTATGAATCACGATCATTCATTTAAAAAGAAAGAACCAAAACTTGGAAAGATGTTGGATGCCTTGTCGACTTATCTGGTGATATGTAAAACATATTACTCGAAAATCCTATGAAGTAAGCAAAACCAACTTGAATTTATGCAAAAAATAGAGCTAATTTAAAGAAATGTTATTTTAGATATATAGTTTATGAACAATATTTGCATTAAGGCAGATACGACCTACAAAGCCTTTTATATTTGATCAATTATCTATATTAAGCTGATAGGGTATATGTTGTTCCGCTTTTCACATTTTTAAGTTACCCAAATATTTTAAGTTACCCAAGTATTTTATAGTCTTTCTTGAAGTTCATGGGGCTGATGGTTTAGGCTGTTCAGTGATGTAGCTAGAAACTGCTGCAGTTAAAGCAACAGTGAAGTTAGGATCTTTTTGTTAAGGATGAAACACAGCCTTCAACTCTCTTGTTGTTATCGTCGTTGCTTGTGCTGTAATCTTGCATAACATCCCGAAGGTTTCTACTGTTTTCTATGTTGGATCCTGAAAGAGTGAGATCAAGAGTGATGGTGGGTGGAAAAGGATTATCCAGAACTGGATAAGGAATGCTAGTCGTGGAGAGTATCACAGAGCAGTTTGCGGAAGACAAATACTGTCCTGGTGTAGAATTAACATTATCATGGTTGTGATGTTCTTCGTTTGTTGCCAGAAGAAAAGATTTGTCCTCCACGCATCGTTGAACCTAGAAATATAAAGAAATATCTTGTTAAGTATTTTACACATCATAGCTTCAATTTAGCAGGAGACGTAATACTCTAGATTTTTATTTTTTTAGTCTAAAAATCACGACCAAATTTCGTCAAGTACTTATGCTCGGGAGTGGAATCCTACTTTCTTTCTAAGGTGAAGTTGTTAATGATTTATATTTGTATGCTGGGATGACGATCGATGCCTCAAAATATAGCAGTTTGAGCATAAAATATAAACTATATATACCTTCTTTTTGACAGGGCATCCAGGAGCCATAGAGCACCTAATATAAGCTCGAGGGGACGGATTATGTTTTGTAACTTTCTCGCCGCATTTCCTCCATTGAAATCCATCTTTAACTATCTAAAACTCATGAATTTAATAAAAGTTATATACATAACATGAAGAACACTGACAGGCGAAATAATAATTACACAACTTATACATGCAAAGAAACCTAGCTAGGGTAAAGAGATTATGATCACTTACAAGGCTGTTGTCCCTAGGGTCCGTTACCAAAAAAACCTTTGACGTCTTCGGTACAGCTGGAACTTCACGTCTTAGTCTCTTGTTCAAATATTCATCGCATGAACCAATCCGCGTGAAGCCGCTGCAACCTGCTGGTAATTGCGAGTTTGATTCCAGGAGATAGGCTTGATGAAGCATGTTGTACTTGCTGCTCATTGCTTCAAGCATTAATCTAAGAGCTTGATTCACTTTCTGCAAATGTTCCAACTCCGCTTGGCGAGCTTTCACCAGAAAATTTTGTTCTTGAATGTTTTAAAATCCAAATATATCAAATTCTTTCTTTCTGGAAAATTGAAAAAGAAGAAGAATTAACCTTCTTTTTTTTTTTTCTTGTTAGAGTTGGGAGCATCCATGACAGTAGGTTGAAAACCAGACTATTCGATGAAGAACAAGTTAGATGGAAAAGCAAAATCTCTTATTAATTTATTAATGAATATAGCGAAGCCTCCTCCAGCAAATATCAAAGAAGAGTAGTAGAATTGAACAATACTAACACGTAAGTGGCTGCTGTCTCTCTCCCTATTTTTTCTCCCACAACTAGAAATAAGCTGTCAGGAAATTATTGAAATAAAAAAGTAATAGAGATTTTGATAGAATTATCATGAATGATGATGGGTATTAATACAGTACAATTTGGAATCGCGATTCACGAACCATCTGGAATCGTAATCTGCATGACATCATGCAAATGTAGTAAGCACGTAGGCCTTAAATTGCTTGTGATGGGTCCGACGACGTGTTTGTCGGTGCTGACAAATTGGTGGACTTCAGTTTTAAGAAAGTAAAAAACTGATGATCAAGCCGAATAATTACATCAGCATGCTGAATATAGAATTTTAGAGCTTACATCCGAAATATCTTGAGTAGTTGCCCAAGCGAACGGTGATTTACTGTTGAAAGTGAAGCACTGGTCAAAGCTCATCATCAGAGTCAAGCAGTAAAAACATCTAGAAGCGGATCAAAATGAATGTGTGGGTAGCAACCAAGCAATTTAGTATCATCAATTTGACTTTTTCCTTATTATTTTTATCAAAAAGTTTCCAAAGGCTGAAAGCGTGTAGCAAGACTGAGTACCTTTTTGCCACCGGTCCATTTGGAATCTTTGATTAATTTGCATGCATATAATGAATATTTCTACCTCCTTTAATTTGATTACTATTTTAATTAATTATATACCATAATGATAGAAAAAATTATTAAAAAATTGACATAAAACTCATTAAATTTATTTATCAAAATTAATAAATTAATTAATTATTAAAACAATATATACCAATCGTCTAATATGATTTATGGAATTTAAAAACTCTAGTAATTAATCTATCATTCTATTAATGAAAATATTATGGACTTCATATGAGATATTATCCACTTTGGAAGTTTAATATAACTTTTCTCATAATTTTGTGAAAAATAAATCTAAGAGAAAAGCAAACCCTTAGCTAATTAAACCATAATCTACTCTTCAACTATGAAATCCTTTCTCCTTCAACAATTCTAATTAATATAATTTTTTTTTTAGATTTATAAGCTTTTTTGGTTAAACCCTGACTTGTAATCCTAAACCCTAGCTAATTCTTGAATTCTAAACCCTACATGCATGTTTGAATTATTTAGAATCTTATAAGGGTATATTTACTATTTATTAAATTTTTTTCTCCAAATTAAAGAGTATAACAATCATTAATTAAATTTTTAATGCACTTTATGTTTAATAAACTCGTTAGTGAACAATATATAGGAATATTGATTATGGACATACCAATTTTGTAAATTAACCCTAAAAGGTTTATATATATATATATATATATATATAAGTAATGCATATTGCTAGGATATTACTAAACCTATTGATGGGTCAGATTGTCCGCAGGCTGGATATGAATTTTCAAGCTCAACTCCAGTCTGATTTATTTGTGAATATATTTTATTTTTAAATATTTTATTTTTACTTTAATCCAAATATAAATTTTTTAACAAATTTAAATATATATTTTAAACACATTAAGATATTAATATAAAAATATTTTTTAATATTTTAATAATAAATTATAAAAAATAAACTTAAATGAACTTTCTTGGATAGATTGAAATCAGCCTGAGTTGATTCATAAATACCTATAGATTTTATATATTACATATTTATACATTATGCATGTACACGTACATGCATTGCAAAGTACAAACACCTTCACACTATATTTGACGGAAATATATTCATTTTAATTACTTAAAAGTATATAAAATTAAATAAATTTTCAATATGAATGAGGTAAATTTAATGTCATGTGTAGATATTAAATTTTATCCGATATAATTTAATATTATTGATCCAAATTCATTTTTGTACGTGAACTAAAATCATTTCTTCTTAAATATTTTACGAATTCTCAAGAATGAAACCTAAATCGACCTAAATAAAATTCATTTCGAACCCACAAGCTGACCCACTTAAAAACATAATTAGCAGCGTAATTTATTGCCCATTTAAAAATCCAAAAAAAGCCCATAACATAACCCATTTTTACACAACTCAAAATTAACCCTTGAGAGTGACCAAAACATGGCCCGAAATAGGCCATTTTTAAAAATGTAAAATTAAATTTAAACCTGAATGCGGAGCCCGAGACTGAAACAAATTGACAAAAGAAAAAGCGGCGATCTGTAATAACAATGGGAGGTCACAGTGCATAAAGAGGAGGAATTATACCGAGTAGGCAGTCAGCTTGTAAGCGGTTGAAAACAACAGAAAACCTGCACATGAATCAACCTACATGAGACAAAAACAGAGGGTTAATAGCCATCAGTGAAGCAGGAAACGGAAGACAAAAGAAAAACTTGGGCAGCAAGAACTAGGCGGTATAAATGAAACTATAGTAAAGGTTGAGAGGGGGATTTTTTGGGGGAGAAGAGAGGAAAAAGGCACGGTGTTGGACGAACATAAAAAAAAAAGTTGAAAAAAACGAAACAAGAAAAGGGGAGAAGAAAGAGAGCGTGATAAAAAAAAGAAGCAGAAAAACACAGAAACGAAAAAAAAAGGAAGGTTTGGCTGAGATGGAAGAAAATTACCGCTTGGGAAGGTGAATATACAAAAGGTGACTTCTTCATTTTATATTCGATTCACTGTCATGTATGTGATGAAATTTATGTTAAAAAAAAACTATCTTGGTTTTGTTGTATGAAAGCCAAAAGCTTCCCAGGTTAGACTTACACCTGTTAAGGGCATCTGGTTAGGGTCAAAACTTGATTTTTTTTTTATTCCCGAACTGACTCCAGGAATTTTTCTCATCCTTTGGCTGTTGTGAAAGCCCAAAATTTTATTGCTTGGCCTGAATTTTTTTGAAACTATTATTGTTTATGGTTAGTTTGCAAAAGTTTAAGGTCTCATCCCATTTAGGCTGCTTGTTCGTTTCTCCTATATGTGTTGGTTGTAAGTAATCCGAAAGTTTGTTATTTCCCTTTCCTTCCTTGCTATTTTCGTGTGTGGTTGGGTTACTGTATTTCAATTCTTTCCTTTTCTTGTTAAATGTCTGTAGGTTAAGTTTGACTCCACCACCTTCCACGACTAATGCGTTAAGTGTTTAGGGAAGATTGAGGTTTCATCATTTCACGCATATTGTTTGTGCTTATAGGTCTTGTTTGACATTTTGATATAGGGACTGTTAATAGAAGCCAAGGGCTTCAGGCTGGGTGGTGTGCAGGGTTTTGGCTTTTTCGACGGGATGGCGATTTCATTTCATTTTTTTCTAAAAAAAAAAAAAGAAAAAATGGGGTTTAAAACTCTGCCATGCTCGGTTCCTGATGCCTGTCCTTTTTATTGTTAGCTGGAGTTAGCATCCCAGGAATCATGTCTCATTAGGTTTAGTTTTGGACACATTATTTATTGGTTGTCATACAGACATGACTTCCCTCATTTTACTTCATGGTTTCTACTTTAGATAGGCAATAGTGTAGTCAACGTGAAAATAAAGAGGGTTTATATGGAAAGGCTTTACGCATAATGGTCATTTGTAGTATAGGGAAGACTTACCAGCTTATTATGTCCTCTGCATGATGGCTATTTAAAAAAATATTAAGCTAGGTTGCTATTACTACAAAGCCTCCACTGTAAATCCCCTGAAAAAGTTTAAAACTTCAAATCTTTTTCATAGTTCTTTGCTTTCCTGTTCCGTCTCCTAGTTTCAGCCTTGTTTCTTTGGGTTTCATTTGCTTAGTTTTGTTTTCAGCTTTTGTTGCTATTTAGGTTTAGGCCTCTGCTTCCAAAAGTAATAAACTTATTTAGGTTTAGATTCTTGACCTATAGGACCTAGTTGAATGGCACAACAGCTTTTTTGCCTATAAAATGAAAAGAAAAAAAAAACGATAAGATAAAATTAAAAAAAAAAAAACTTCATGGAAGCTGGGAAGCTTACATGCCTATTCCCTCTTTTACATGATGGCTGTTTATGAAAAATTTTTAAACCAGCCTATAATTCCAAGGCCCTCACCTCCCATATTTATGTTTTAGGCCATATAGAAAACTCAAAACTAACCATTATTTCTTTTTCTTTTCTTTTTTTTTGGTACGAAAAAACCTAGGTAAATAAGTTGTTTAGTTTGTCAAGTCAGAGAAAGATACGTCGTATCTACCAGTCAAAGATAGGTGGTTACAGATCATACATTCGAGATTATCCCAACAAATAGCCAACGATAAGACTTTAACTCAATACCTCTTTATCGAAGATGATGAATCTTAATCGATTGAACTAACCACTTGTTAGTAAACTAGACATTATTTCAAGATTCCACTACTCATGTTTCATAACTTAGGCTTTATAGATTAATAGATTATATAGTACATTTGTCTTTTATATTCATTTCTTTCATGTTTTTAAGTTCAATTTAAGCTTAATAAAAAAAAAAGAAAAAGAAAAGAGTCCCATGCGAAGAAAACTTAAAGCTTTTATACTTTTTTTTACCGTGCATGGTAAAGAAAGCCTAAAAAATAGACATTATTTCAAGACTCATCATTCATGTTTTATAGCCTAGGCTTTATAAGTTAATAAATGTTATAGTATATTGGTGTTTTATATATTATATGTTTATTTCTTTCATGCTATTAAATTTAATTTAAGCTTAAATCTTATATATTATGATATTTATGTGGTTTGAACCTTCATGTTAAATTTAATTCCATGCAATTTTGTTTTACATTGTAAAGTATTTTTTATTCAATTTATTTTCTATGCACATTAGTTTCATGTATATAATAATAATAATAATAATAATAATAATAAAATGAAAATTTTGATAATGGGAATTTTGGAAAGTCTGAATAGTGATTTATAAGAATTTCCTAGGTGAGGAAA